GCTCTGACTGTATTATGTTTACCCTGGATTCTTCATTGCTTTTCATATTAAAGGGCATGCCTGTGAGTGAAGGCACGCATTGTTTTTTTGTGTGTATTGTCTTTAGTGCAGTTGCCCCTGTCCCTAACACACTCCCTTGTACCTGAATCTGTGCACTTCTCGTGAGCATTGTACATAGTGGCCAATTGTGGAAATTTCCATTTCTTGGTGATTGGAGACAGGAGGATGAGAAAAGGATTCTAGAGGGGAAAAAAACACTGAAGAATTTATATTTGCCTTCTTCCATCTTCGATAACAAGCACACCTAATGCAAAATGAAAGAACTGTACTTCATGCAGAAACATCGGTGTGCAAAAAGTTGTAATTGCTGTAGTTCTCACACTGTAATCAAATGCCATGAAACTAAGTTCGTTATGAAGTAAATAAACTGGAAAAAAAATCTTCACTAACAGTGTAATATAAATTGTACTACACTGTGTCTACACTGTTGTAGTGTTCCACTTGGAATAAAAGAGGAAGAGGCATTGTAATGAAATCTTTAACCCTTCTACTTCTCTCTATAATATCTGCAAAGGTTGTGCTGAAAACTGATTCTGCTGGAGAGCATGCTGTCTGCTGAATTACAAGAGTTAAGGCAATACGCCCTGTGAGTTCTTGCAGATTTAACAGCTAAAAATAGTTTTTGAAGAGCTGAGCCATATGGACCAAATTCTTTCCTACCTATGTTTCTGCAACATCATTGAACTAATCTGAGTTGTGCAGATGGCTGATTGCATAGTTTAGCCAATACAGATATTGTTGACATTAATAATTTTTCTCCTAGTATCTGTCCAAATGGATCCCAGTGTTGGTGTTTATGTGCATGATGTACACAAAATTAAAATTGTTTAGGCTAGGGACAGAAGTTATACATAAACCGGTTTAAGAGATCAAAAATCAGTTTAAACCTGTAACAGAACAAAAGTGCAGTGCACATAAACCAGTTTCAAAATGGCTGAAACTGGTTTGAGATAAACCTGGTTAAGTGTAGTATCAGATTTAACTGCTTGAGGTCAAACCAGTTTATGGAACTTCTGTCCCAGACCCCACCCTGCGGCGAAAGGAGTAGGGAGGGGGCTTATTCCTCCCTCTCTCCTGGGGACCCCGGCCGGGGTCTGCCTGGTGAAGACAGAGCAGGCCCTGTTGGGCATTCCTACCTCCACTGTCACTTGAGGGAAGGCCAATAATTGATCTATTATATAATAATCCACAAAAATCAGAATACCCTTAAAAGCTGAACAGCTTTTCTTTACACCAATCAGCCAACCATAATCCAGTGGAGAGGGTACTGGTGAAGATTACCTGGGTACAAAGGGCACATGATTCTATTTAACTATGTCTACAAGGATTGGTGGCATGATGGATGGTTGAATCTGCATGGACATACCATCTTGAACAAGTATATCTGGTGCAATGCAAATATATAATCTTTAAATAGGTGCAGGTACAGCCAAGTAAACCACTTTTTATAGTGTTAGTGATGTTGTAGCCACAATGGTCCAGGAATTATGCAAAAGGCAGGGATTTTTTGGGGGTGATATCTTCTACTGTACCAACTGCCTGGTTGAAATAAAGTTAGATAAGCTTATGAATGCAAGCTTCTTCATCTGGTCTGAGGAGGGAAGCATACAAGCTCAGAGCATGTAAAGAGCCAGGAGTAGAGCTGTGAAAATGGAGAGGGGAGGGAAATTCTCAGGGGTAGACAGCAGAAGAAAAGCAGCTGATTAGCTATCAAAAGGGAGGGGGTAATTAATACCTGTTGTGTATAGGAAGAAATTCAGAAATCAGGTCCATTAGAGTGTCAAAAATCAGTTTCAGTGTTCAGTGCTTGGTTCTCAGTGTCCAGCCCTGTTATGATTTTTCATTCCAACACTCACCTTTTAAAGGTGTTCGGTAAAGCACAATGATAGGTCAGAAAAGGACACTGACCTCATGAAAAATGTGCTCCTACTAATGTATGTGTGTCTCTGTCCTTTATATTTTTTCTGTGCGAGTTAATTCTGGTGCATAGTTGCCATGAGGGCACTTGGTGCATTGGATCGGATATATTTTATAAAAAACATGTATGGTATCTATGGATGCTGGTGAGTTTTTTGTGGGTGTGTTAATAGCAGTGGAGATGTGCTGACATCTAAGTACTCTATTGCCAAGGTAAGGCTGTGTCTCATTTGATGTCTGTTGAGCAGTGGGGAGTTTGCTTCTGATGGTGAGTTGAGCAAGGTTGAGGGGTTGTCTGAAAGCCAGGAGTGGAGGGGCTGAGAATATTTCTCTCAAGGTCTGATCTTTGTTGAGTATAGGCTGTAACTGTTTTAGGATTCTTCTGATTGGTTCCAGTGTGAGGTGGTAGGTGATGAATAGTAAATTTCCAGAAAAATGGAGTGTCAGGGTGTGATGGACTGTGGAGTTTTATTGTAATATTTTTTTGTGTTCTGTTCATGTTATGTTGCATAATTCATCTTATGTTCTATCATTCAGTTAGCCTATGATGCTAGCATGCAGGGAGAAGAAGGGTTAATAGATTCCCAGCTAAGTGTCAGGGTTGCAGACAAGATGGAATTATAGCCTCCAGGGCCTCAAATATCTTTTTTGACATATCAACAAAGGTACGATGGCCCACACCCGGGAGTCTAGCAGGGCAGATAAACATACAAAGGGGAAGGGAGTATGAACTAAGGGTTGCCATCTCCTTGCGGGAAAATCTGGAAAGTCAAAAACCAGCAGGGTTGCTCTGGGGCTCAGGGGGTAGAAAGACCAAAGGGGACGACCTTTGAGGGTGCTCTGGACTGTGGGGACTGGAATGGTTTTACCCTTTGGAGGGGGCAGACAACCTTTGGCTGGGTTGCCTTTTTCCCAGTAAATATCTTTATTTAAAGAGACTGTCTGCTTTGCTGCTTGGACCTTTATACAGCACTCACTCTCCCCAGCAAGAGGCAAAGGCTGTGAACAGGCATTCATTTGTATAACATTTTTGACAAATTTCCACTGGTAGAAATCTTTCCAGAGAGGGAGCATGCAGGTGTTCAGCCTCCCCCTCTCCCCTGCTCTCTACACCTTCCTGAGACTGGTGATCCCAATCTGGGGAAGACGTGGGGATCAGTGGCTGCTCCACTTCCTTTGGTCCTTGGGGGTGGGGGTTGAGTGGTAGTGGTGAGAGGGAGGGTGGAGTGGTGGGAAAAGACTCCCTGCACCTTACCCTGACCATGGTCTGGGGAACAGGTAGGGAGCAGCCTCCTCTAGTCTCCCAGTCTTCAGAAGCAGAGCAGAGGGAGCACTGAGGAAAGCCCCCAGCCCCTTTTCCAAGCTGGGCAGTGCTGGATCTGGGGAAGTGGCAGGGAGCAGTGCTGGCTGCTGCCCACCTGTCCCAGGCTAGTCTGGAGGAGGAAGGGAGCAACAAGGCAAAGCCCCTGTCCATTCCCAGCCCGGGGACCTTAATCTGGGGAGCAGGCAGAGAGCAGTGAGCAGGTGCTCTTCTTAACTCCTGGTCACAGGGGATGGAGCAGAGGAAGCAGGGGGGACCACCCCCACCTACTCACCAGACCGGGGACTCCAGTTTGGGGAGTGGACAGAACACAGCAGAAGGCTGCTCCTCTTCCCTCCTGGTGTATGGAAAGGCTGGGAGCAGGTGTCCCGTGCCTCTCTAGACTGGAGCCTTTCCCTAGTGCAGGGAAGTATACAAGTGTTCGTTCTACCAGGAGAAACTCTCCAAGGAGCAAGCTGTACCAGGTCAGAGTTAGGTTATTTTTCTTCATGGGTTATTTTTTTTTGCCATTTTTTCTCTGTGAGAAACCTTGTGAATGCCTCTACACTCATGGTTTCTACTCGAGAGCTGTCTGTACATGGCTGAAGTCCCTCTCTCTGGAGTGGCACTAGATGCTAGGTCCTTGAGTCAGGCCCATGGAAAACCAGGGAAGGTCGAGAGACTGAAAGGCCAGGGCCTCAGGGAGGGAAGGAGCCTGGGCTCCCGACTTGGTCTGGAAGCTGTGCCTGGGGTGGCTTTGGAGGAATCTCTCAGACCATGGTGGTCCTGAGCACACATCCCCTAGAGAGCACTCTGACACAGGGACACCAAAACTACTTGTCAGTTTGTTTCCATAGTTTCAAATGGTGTTTATAGAAAATTGAAAAAAGGGGTAATTTAAAAAAAAAAAATCAAGTAGTTCATTTTGACATTTTTCAAAAGAAAAGGTTCTGTTAGAAAAATGCAAAAACATTTTCTATTGACACTTTCTAAATAACCTTTTTTGGCTTTTCATTTTGAAGTGACTTCCTATTTTAAAAAATTGCCTAAATTACAAGGAAACAAGTTAAACCTATGAGTAAATAATCCAGAAATGGAACAAATGATTTGTATTGAGGGAATAAAATGTTTTGGGTCTACACAAAATAGATTTTTTTTTGTTTCTATTATTTTGCCCAAAATCTTCTAAATTGAACTTTTCCCTATTTTTTCAGTTTTGCTGTTGAACCAAACCATCTCTTACTTGTCTAGGTCAGCTTGCAAGCTCTTGTCTACTACTATGCCAATTCAGAGGCTGTTCCTCACAGCCAAACAGTTGTATTCTGTTTGGTGAAGCAAAGCCACATTATGACCTATATCATATTTCTTTTATGACTTATACAGTTGCAGTACCCTGTGGATGGTGCTGCAATATTTCCTTAGCTAGAGTGTAAAAAAATGACTTGTTAAGAACATTGAATTTACAATGTAATTTCAATAGTAAGCTCTTTGAAGCAGGATTTGTCCATGTTGTGAAGTGCCTAGTTAGTATGTCTTTGAATGCTGTATGAGTAATGCCTAAAAAGAGATCATCTTTGTACCATCACCTCGGAGGAGCAAAACCTGCATTTATAAATGTAATACAGGTAGGTGTTTCATAAGAATGTAATCATGAAGTAGATAAGAATACATATATAAAGATTTACTTTTGTTGCATTTATTATATTTATTTATTACTTTTCAGCTGTTACATGCCTCTCGGAGAATAACCATTCTGCAGATGTCACTGAGTGCCTGCAGTGGATAGGACCTATGCCTCCCCTTGTACAGGAGTGTTTAGTTCCCTGCAAAGATGACTGCACATTTACACCTTGGTCTAAATTTACAGCATGCACCGTAGACTGTGAATCAACAAAAAGTAGAAGGAGATCACTGACAGGTACCAACATGTTTAACAGAGACAATTACGAATAACTTTTTCAGATATTAATGAACTGACTTTGAATTTTTGTCAGATTGCAGATTGAATATTAAACATCTGTGACAACTTTATATATCAAAAGGGCTCATTCAGGTGTGAAAATGGTATAGGATTTGGCCCACACTATTTCAGTCTGGGTTGCAGATAGATCAAAAGGGATTTTTTTATACTGAAAATAATATAAGAAATATTTAGGTGTAAACTAGCAAAACAAAATGATGTCTCTGCAATGCACAAATCCATGCCACTTGTGTTACCTTGAGAAAAATAGGCAGAAAACTTGGAAATATCCCAAATTATTCCATTTAAAAATGTTGGACTCAGACTTAGATGAAGTCCAGACATACCACTCCAGTAATCCATGGTAATGCCAAACTCATAGAATTTTCTAGCAGTGTTACGCTGATTTTATCTGATCTCTTGAGATATTAGTAAAAAATTTTGGTTCAAGTTCAAACTCCATTCCAGTACTTTTATCTCTACATCAAGTATTTGCCTACAGTATTTTTGTAATATTGTTATTTAAATGCTAAACAAACCGAGAAGCTTTAGACCTTAAGAGTTCAGGCCCATTTGGTTTAGTATCGGCAATCTTTCTCCTTTGCCACAGTTTGCTAAGCCAGATGGAAGTGAATTATGCTATTTTTAAAGATTTATAATAAATTTACTGTTATAGTCACACTTTGCACTTGTAGCATTTCATATGTTCTATTTTGCATTTAAAAGGGCTGTGCTTTAGTTACTTTTGGTTATTCCATAGCAGGGGTGAAACATCAAAAGCTTTTACACAGAATGAAAAATAAACACAACAGCTTTCATAAACATACCCTATGTTATAATGTTTAGGAACTGAATAATAGTTTAAGTATGGTGGCTATTATATTTTGCCTTTTTTCTTGTAACCACATACAAAATTATTTTGTTATTGTTGGCATGATTCAGGTTTTCAGCAGTGGACCATTTCATTATACAAAAATAACAGAATAAAAAGTTATATTCATGAGCTTGGCTCATTAAAGATAAAGATTTCTCTTTTACATAAAATCCTTATTATGGAATTTTACATCGTTTGTGGCAAAGAATTAATAGTATATTGCCCTCAGTATTGGTGCCTGCACTTATAGAGAAATAGAAATTTTCTATCCCTCTCAGACTATTATATGGCTAAATTTACAGCTAAGGTCTGATCATTAGGAATTAATTCAATGACCATTTTTATGATATGTTTAGATCTATAATTTCTTTATGCTGATATGTATATTCACTACAGTATACCAGGGGCCTAATTTTCCTCCTCCTCACTTCAATATAAATCTGAGAATAGGTCTAGCTGAGTCAATGGACCCAAGTGAGTGTAAAACTTATGTCCTATGAAGGCTTTTTAACATTGCTGTTCTGCTGCTGAGTCTTTATTGCATTGACCAGGCTGTGTGTATTGCAACACAGCAAATTTAGTGGAGAAGTTAGTTGAGAATTATGAGAAAATAATTTAATTCAATAAGATACAAGAACAGTGTACATAACATTTCTACAGTTGAAATTCTGTGCTCCTTGATATTCACTTACGGCATTCAGTCTATGCAACAGGCTTTGCTGCCCACAAATTCCCAACTTAATGAAGTACCATACCTGAATCTGATTTTGTTTCTGCACCTTGCATTTTTGCATAGTACTTATGTCTGTGATATCTGTGCACTTGTCTGTGGTGCTATCCATCTCCAGGCAAGGAGGGTATGGCAGAGATAACATGCTCTACTAATTGATGTCATGCTTCATCCCTACATCTGGGTTTGCCATCTGATCAGGCTGTCTAATCTGGCAGGTCTCTGGATGATAGGCATTAAATGTTTTGACTCTAAACTAGTAGACTGACTTTCCAAGAGCCAGCATGGCACATCCAATGATGTGAATCATGATAGCTGTAGTATGATGAAAAGACAGTTTTCCAGTTTGTCACAGGGTACCCGCACTGGGTTAAACCAGATGAGTTTAATTAATTTACTCATATATGTTGCTTTTATGGGCTTGGCACTTTGCTGCCTACCGTGTCTACTTTCTTCAGGCCTTGGCTTTTTTTTCTCCCCTGCTTATCACAGCAAGAATTTTCTTCTAAAACATTTTTGGTTGAATATACATGGTAATTTCCTTCTCTGATCTTTGGCATTTGATCACTTTTCTTTCCACTCTTCTTTGCAATGGCGATTGACTTTCATCTGGGCATTATCACCCTGAGAAACACATATAAACTCCTTGGGTTCTCCTTCTCCTGCCTCTTCTAATCTCCCTCCCAACCACAGGATTCTGAAAACCCTGAGACTGGAATCAGAAGGGATTCCAAAGTGGTGCTGGCAAGAATCAGAGACCGGCAGAATGGGACAAAAGCAATAGGGAACTGGTTGAAGAACATACTGTTGTCTCAGTTTGAGGGAGAAATGGATAAGGCTATTACATGTGTCTCTATGTAAGACATCATACAACCTATGGGATGATCCTACAGTTGGATATCAAGAGTCTGCTACAGAAACCTTTATGTCTTATGGCCTGAACTATAGTCTGGAACTAAGGTCTCCACATTTACTCAAGCTAAAGATTAAAGCAGAACATTTGTCATGGGAAATATTTTTTATGGATTTTAAAAAGAAGTCCTTTCTGTATCTGTGTGAGTGTGTCTCCTGTTCTTGTTCAACATATTGTTTCCCTATGCTCAAATTAATGCACTGAATTTATCATAAGAGCTCATCAGTATATGGCATTTGGTGGAAGTCTCCTAACTGAATGTTAAGTATCTGTTTCCTTCCCACTGTATGTTTTCAGTCTTAGTGTCATAGAGGCTTAGATTCATAGTGAAGTAGGGCTGGAAGGGACCTCCAGAGGTCATCTAGTCCAACCCTGTGCCTGAGGCAGACTCATCCCTATCCAAACCATCCCACACAACTGTAATCTAAACTCTATATCAGACTACCCTCAACCCTGACACAAAATAGATCTAACATCCTAGCCTGCCCCAGGTAAAGCTGAGGAAACTGCCTCTATAAAATGTTGTCAATATATACTCCCCAACCCCCAGGGGAAGGCAAGATCCCCCACAATCCGTTTCAGTTTGACCACGGGGTAAAATTCCTTTCTAAGCCCAAATATGGTGATTGATCTGACCCTGAACATCTAGGCAGGCTTTGCTCCTAGAAGAGAATCGGTATACCCCAGCTGAAGTCCCCAGCCTTAGCTGTAGCCATCACCCAATGCCTCTGAGGAGACTAAAAAAACCCCTTGACACATATAGCAGAAAAAAGGGAAGGGGGTGGAGCGTGGGAGCAACACCAAAGCTCAGAAGCATGGGAAATTCCCATGGTAGAAAATAGGTATAGCTACACCTAGATAATCCCTAGCCAGTGACTGTCCAACCTCTTCTTGAACACCTCCAGTGACAGAGAGTTTATAAATTCCCAAGGCAGTCTTTTCCACTGTCTCACTATTCTTACAGTGAAGAAGTTTTTTTTCTGGATATCCAATCTAAATTTACTCTGCTGCAACTTCAGGCCATTGGTCTGCATCCTCCTCTCTGCAACAAGAGACAAAAGGTGCTTCCTCTCTTCTTTATGGTAACCTTTCAAGTACTGGAAGACTGCTATCATGTCCCCCCTTACGTGCCTTTTCCTCAAGCTGAATATGTTTAGCTCCTTCAACCTTGCCTCTCATGACTTGCTTTCCAAGCCCTTTATCATCTTTGTTGCCTGCCTGGACCCTCTCTAACTTCTCTATTTCTTTTTTAAAATATAGAGTCCAGAATAGCACATAATACTCCAAATGAGGCCTAACCAGTGCTGAATAGAGAGGCACTAGCACCTTCCATATCTTCTGTTGATGCATCCTAAAACTACAAAAGGTCATTTGTTGCCTCACATTACAGACTCATTGAGTCTGTGCTCTACCAAGACTACAAATCCTTTTGCATACTGTTGCCATCCAGCCAGATGTTATTCATTTTATATTTGTGTTTTTGATTATTCCTCCTGAGGTGTAGCACCTTGCATTTGTCTGCATTGAATTTCATCCTATTAGCTGTAGCCCAGCTTCCCAGTCTGTTGAGATCCTTCTGAATTCGATCAAGAAACAGCAAACAGGCCAGTTACAGAGGAGTTTGCTAGGGAAGCTCTGCTTGGAAAGAGAGGCAGGATGTGAGAGGCAGCAGATTAGAAGTCCCAGACAGAGGCTGGAGAACTTTGCAATCCCAGAGCCATCTACTTACTGCTCTTCCTTTGCTTCCACTTGTGCGGTGTCTGTCCAGGCAGGACCACACAACATCTAGGCTTCTACCCAGGTCCTAATTTGGTGCTGTGGAGGAAGGACTGCCAGAGGTGGTGCTAGAAAAGAAAGAGGGCACAGACTCCCAGGAAGGTGGAAGCTGGAAGCTTGTAATCTCTGGGAGCAAAAGGATGTTGTCATCCTGACCTGCAATGGTTTGCCTGGAGAACAGAAATATGGAGTGCTAGCAGTGGAGGAGGAGGAGCGAATTCTACTGGTGAAAGAGGCCAGGCCAGAAATTCTCAAGTTGGGGAGGATTGAGACCACTGCCACAAAGAGGATGCGATGGGTGGTGGTGGTTGGAAACTCCCTTCTGCAGGGGATGGAGAGATCCATCTGCTGGCCTGAGCTGTTGTTCTGGGAGGTCTGCTGCTTGCCTGGAGCCTGGATCTGAGATGTCATAGAAGGATTACTGAGACTCATCCAGCCCTCTGACTACTACCCCATACTGCTCATCAATGTGGGCACCCATGATACTGCCAGAGGTGACCCTGAACAGATCAAGAGTGACTACAAGGCTCAGGGTGCAAGGGTGAAGGGGACAGGGGCACATGTGGTGTTCTCCTCAATCCTTCTGGTCAAGGGGAAGGGCCCTGGCAGGAGTGGACACATCCTGCAGATCAATGCATGGCTGCACGGGTGGGGTTGCCAGCAGGGATTTGGCTTCTTTGACCATGGGATGCTGTTCCAAAAAAGATTGCTAGGAAGAGATGGGATTGACCTGATGAAGAGAGGGAAGAGCATCTTTGCAGACTGGCTCGTTAACCTAGTGAGGAGGATTTTAAACTAGATTCACTGAGGGATGGAGACCAAAGCCCTGAGGTAAGTGGGGAAACAGGAAAGCTGAAGGAAGCACAAGGAGGATAGGACAACAAGGGTGACCTCCTCATTCTTCCTGAGAAAGTAGGGCAATCAACTAGTTATCTCAGGTGTCTGTACAAGAGCGCTTGGAGCCTGGGAAGAATTGGAAGTCCTTGCACAGTCAAGGAACTGATGTGATTGCCAAAGGCTTGGTGGGAAGTGTTCAATACCTTCTTTACCTCAGTCTTCACAGGAAAGTTCAGCTCCCAGACTACTGCACTGTGCAACACAGTTTGGGGAGAAGGTGATCAGCCCTCAGTGGTGAAAGAACAGGTTAGGGACTATTTAGAAAAGCTGGTTGTGTACGGGTCCATGGGGCCAGATGCAATGCTTTCGAGGGTGCTGAGGGAGTTGGCTGATGTGATTGCAGAGCCGCTGGCCATTATCTTGGAAAACTCATGGTGACTGGGGAAGGTTCCAGATGATTGGAAAAGGGCAAATATAGTGTCTATCTTTAAGAAAGTGAAGAAGGAGGATCCAGGGAATTACAGATCAGTAAGAAAAATCATGGAGCAGATCCCCAAGGAATCCATTTCTAGGCACCTGGAGGAGATGAAAGTGATCAGGAAAAGTCAGCATGAATTCACTAAGGGCAAGTCATGCCTGATCAACCTGGTTGCCTTCTATGATGAGAGCTGGCTCTGTGGATATGGGGAAAGCAGTGGATGTGATATACCTTGACTTTAGCAAGGCTTTTGATACGTCTCCCATAGCATTCTTGCCAGCAAGCTGAGTAAGTATGAGTTGGATGAATGGACTGTAAGGTGGATAGAAAGCTGACTAGATCGTTGGGCTCAACAGGTCGTGATCAATGGCTCGAGGTCTAGCTCGCAGCTAGTATGAAGTGGAGTGCCCCAAAGGTTGGTCCTGTGGCTGCTTTTGTTCAATATCTTCATTAATGATCTGGAAGGTAGGATGGATTGCACCCCAAGCAAGGTCACAGCTGACAACAAGCTGGGGAACACAGCTGTCCTTTGGTACCTGGCCCGTCTCCCACAACTTCATGAATATCATTGCCAAGCGCTCTGAGATCTCCTCTGTGGTGAAGCTCATCTGGCCCTGCTGACTTGAATTCATTTAGACCCAACGAAAGCTATCTTACTCTCTCTTTTGTTATCTTCTCCCTCAGCTTGCACCCTTCCTTATCCAGATAATCCCGATTAGGTATTTGTCTGCTTAATTTTCTGGAGAAGACTGAGGCAAAGTAATTGTTGATTAGCTCTGCCTTCTTTGTATCTTGAGTTAGGAGTTCCCTCTGGCTTGTTAACAGAGGACTCACAGTTTCCTTGGTCCTTCTTTTCTGACCAACACACTTACAGAACTTTTTCTTGTTGTCCTTAACCTCCTTTGCTAGGTGCAGCTTGTCCTTTATCTCTGCCTTCCTGATTTTGTCCCTGTGGGTTCTTGCTATTTTCTGGTATGTGTCCTTGGTATCCTGCCCACTCTTTCATTGCCTGTATGCTTTCCTTTTGCATTGGAGGTATTTTAGAAGCTCCATGTGCAGCCATATTGATCTCTTGCCATTCTTGTGCTTCCATCATGTCATGCCATGTTTCTTGTTGGGCCTCCAATACTGTATCCCTTAGAAGCTCTCAGCCCTCATGGACATCTTTATCCTTCAATCTGTCCTCCTATGACACCATGCCTATTAGCTCCAAGAGTTGGATAAAATCTGCCTTTTTGAAATCTAGCATCCTAATTTTCTTGATCTCATGCTTTCCTTGTCTCAGGATCTGGAATTCTAGCATATCATGCTGTGTATATTTGCTGTGTAAATTGTACACTGTATCTATATGACATTAGCCATTAATGGAGGATCAGCAATAAACAAAATCCTAGTTGGAAAAAAATATTTTGGGTCAAAGGCTTATGTAATCACCAAATTTTTAGGCTGAGATTGGGAAATGTGAATTAATTTCAGTTTATTCTGAATGCAGTAAAATATGCACTGTGGTGTTGGCAAAATGCATACGTAGGTAAATAGAGTTTTACTTAATGTGGTTTACTAAATAGTTTTACTAGTGCACAAAATATTCCATTTGAAAAAAAGTATCTTCTTTAATTAAAGCCTTTGGGTCTTTGAAGAAAATTTAAAATACAGTATTACTGAAAGCTGTTTTTAAAATGGTCTGTGGGAATTATAAAAATCTCTTAATTCTATAACCATTTATTGGAAGATGGTAAGTCCTTGATCTGCAACTCTTTATCTGGAGTGCATCCACTGAAGTAGACTCCACTTGTAGAGGATGGCAGGGTCTTGTGGAATCAAAGGCATCATGTAAATATGAACTCAGCATCCTTAATGCTTTCACATCATGTCATGCTGTTTATATAAGGAGTACAATATTTAGAAGATACACATATATAGATGAGTCCCAGATTACCAAGTTTACTCCCTATATACCATATAAACTTGCAAAGCGTCTGTTGGTTTCTGGCAATTTTTCAAAATATAGAACACAGTTGATGCCACTAGGGGGCTTGCAAACTATTATAAGGGCACACTCTCCTTTTCATCTACACTATGGGGCTTGACTAAAATCAGCAGAGTTGTACTTTCAAATGTTAGAACTGGATGTGTTCCAAAAAGACCGTTATACTGTGCATTTTAACAATTTAAATGATTTAATTTTTCAACTAAATATTGCAAGATAATTGATTTTCACAGGCACCCAATGTTGTAACTTTTTTGTCTTCTAGGATAGTGTACTTAATCAATTTCTGGCCTATTTTCTTACTCCTATCTCTATATTCATTGCAGTTATGTCTGGAAAAAGGATGGAAATAATTTCCTTCAGATTTATTTCTGTTTGTTTGCAAATTTTTACACTTTCTGGAGCAAAAAATTCCCTAAACTTTTGAAAGACAAATAGTGAAGGAATTAGAGCTTGGAGCATGACAATATTGAGATCTTGTAATATAATGCATTTCTCTATGGAAATGTGTGAGGAGTTGATTCATAGAGAGTAAAATCAGATGTGACTGATCCAGCTGTCACTGGATTAAGTGAAAAACTCCCATTGCTTTCATGGGTAAAGGACTAGAAAACTGATTATGTGAATTGTTTGGTATATATATTTTGTTTGTGTGCAATATAAGAGTGAAAACATGTCCATTGGCATTGTAGCTAAATGACTGCTTACCAAAACGTATTTTCAGAGTGCTTAAGAGATATTGGAACCGTATCTTGAGTGCCTGCTATGTCTGCAGATTGTAAAAGGTGACCCAGAGATCCTTCTCTTCCAGTCAATTATGCCGCTATCTAGGAGTTGACCATAATCCTCTGGTCAGGCTTCGTGATGTTATCTTGCTCCAGAATAGCCAGATATAATAACCCTAAATGTTACCTTTTCAAAGTTTGGAGTAACTTTCTTGGCCTCCTGAGAGTTCAGAATGCATCATAGAAAAGGAGTCCCGTTCTGCCCTTAAAAACACAAAACAAAATGATAGTACCTGCATCCTGCATGTGGAGCAGGGGGAGGCAGGTCCTTTAGAAACAAGTCTCTGAAGAGTCCAGTTGTGGTATCGCCCCACTTCCTTCCAATGAAGTACTGTGTTTTAAAGACCAATAGACGCATTGTCTGCCTTAAGCTACTGAGAGATGCTTAAACAACATGCCTTAAAAATCTGTTAAGGGAAACAAGCCAGGAACACCTAATCTGGTACCAATGAAATACATTCCAGACTCAAATAATTTACCAAAGATTATCTTTCCTCTTTTCTTCAAAGCACAGTCTGTGTGCAGGGCGCATATTTAACTGGTTTGTAAAGTAGCCTCAAAGAAAGAGTTACAGCTAACTTAGACCCTTTTGTAGGTTTCCCTAGCAACCATTGATTGTAAGGGGAACAGAGGCAAAACAATCAATTTGTTTTCATCAGATAATTAAGGAAAATGATATTACATGAAATTACAAAGAATTTTCTAGCCATACAATTACTGCAGTAAGTCTTTTCATATTGCTTGCTACCCTATCCCACAGAGCAATATTTCTAAGTTCCTTTAAGTTCCACGGTTGCCCCTGGAGATAGCTACATTGTCTTTGTACTCCAAAGCACTGGCAACAACTAATAGGTGCTTTTGAAACATTCTTGTGTATTAACATCCAGATTGTCTTGGTTTTAATGTACTGAATTCCTGCAAGTATAAATAATATGGTGTGTTGTTATCAAAAGCAGCAGATGTTAAGCTAACAAGCATATTTCTCTGGTTGGAACAGGGAGAAGCAGAAAGCGAGACAAATGCCAGAATACAGAAGTTTATCCTCAAGTTGAAATGGAAGCATGCCCCTGTGAAACGTTTTCTTCCCAGCCCTATGGAAATTGGTCAGATTGCATTATTGCAGGGGATAAAACAGAGCCTCAATTAGGAATAAGATTCTATGGAGACCCCAAAGAATGTGGAGAAGGTATACGACTCCGTGCAATTGCCTGTTATGATAAGACCGGCAGACTTGTGGAGCCGTCTTACTGCAGCAGTTCTGGTAAGAAGATAAAGAAGTGTACAATGCATGTAAATGACCCTGATATTCTCTGCTCATCTAGTGAGCAATTCACCCTCTGGTACCCAAGTACACTCTTACTTACTGGGCTGTAACAACTTTTATAAAGCTCCCATAAATGCTGAATGTGAATCTGCTTTCCAACTATGTGAGTACACTTTCAACAGCTTTCTGCAGCTTTGATTGTACAGTGCCTATGACCTTTGAGCATCTTTACATGTGCTCTGGGGGGAGACTCTTGGGAGCCGCTCTAATTAAAGTGTCCATGGTGTCTCATGTATTTCTCATCCCATGCTTCAAAATGGCAGCGGAGGTGCTTTAACTAAAGCTCATTCGATCTCAGAGCTGGCGTTGGGCATATGTATAGGTGTCCTTTGTTACTACTTCAGTACAAGGATCTGTTTTATTTCTATTATAAATCCCCACCTTACAGGCATTTGTAATTAAGATTGGATAGAAATGTGTTCTATTGTGAACATGAGGAAAGTCACAATGCAGGGAAAGATTTCTTTTATACTTCTTTTAAAACATTATGGTAGTATTAGAGTGATGTAACTGTGATGGTCCAGGAATTATGCAAGAGACAAGGGTTTTTGGGGGTGATATTTTTTGTGGAACCAACTCCATAGTTGGGAGAATTAAACAAGCTTTCAAATTCAAGATATTTGTCTTCAGGTCGGAGGAGAAAAGCCAACACAGCAATAGTTATTGTAAGCTGCAGATTTTGATATCTTTGTTATGGTAGTGACTGTTACTGTGATAGTGGTATGTACAAAGGGAACAGTTTGGATCCAAAAAAGGAAAGAGAGAGAACACAGCACAATTTAAATGAAGATGAATGTGGAAACAATACTGATGAATGGAGAGGTAGGAAGTAGTACAGGAAACATTTGATTTTTAAAAAGAAAATCAAAACAAATGATCTTTTAGGTTTGTTAGATGAGGTACCATGAATTAAAATCAGGACTGAGCTAGGTGTTGGGGTGGGAGAAATGAAGTATCAAGAATAAGAGAGAGAACCTTTTACAAGAAAGGGTAGGTGAGGCTGCATTGAGGAAGGCCTTTTCAGTGAGCAGGTTGATTATTTTTGTGGTAAGAGACAGAGTTAATGAAGTGATTTAATCCTAGTGAAAATTCTTCATTCAGCTGTTTATTACTGTTCTAGTTGGCTGCACAGATTCATAAAGCTGCTTTCCAAGGTTTGATTTCTAACAATGGGGTGGACTTTTTAAGGCTTTCAGATAACAATTGATTATATCCCTATGCTATATGGTAGAGAAATGTTGCACTTTTCTCCTTTCACAAAACTTTTTTTTCCCTTCAAAAACAGGAGCAGCTGGTACTTTAGATGGATTTGTCTGTGTAATGAGTTATTCTTTTTTGAGAAATCCAAGGTTTGTGTAATTATTAAAAGAAGGAATTATATGTTTGGGGTTTCTCTCAATAGTCTCATCTGTTTTGAGCTATGCTTACTATTAGTTATATTTACATGGAAATGTCATGGCTGTAAGTCCCAGATTAGTAGAGAGAGAGGGTCTGAAACTATATGTGGCTTCCAGAGCTTCTGCTTCTTGCCCCAACAGAAATGAGAACATTGGGAAGCCTGTTTTAATGTCCTCCACTGGCATAACTTTCCTAAAGGACACTATAATGGTTCTGATCAAGTATAGGACAGCTCGAATCCACCAGGCCTTCTCCCATTGACTATCTACCTCCGTAAGAACCTTGGAATGCCTCCTGCTTCTTATATTTGGCACTGGAAGAACAGCTGGTCTGAATGATATTTCCATCATCTATATCTGGCCATGCCAGTCAAAAATGTATGTATTGTGTTAAAACAGCCTTAGAATCATGGAAAATTACGGCTGGAAGGGACCTCAGGAGGTCATCTAGTCCAACCCCCTGCTCAAAGCAGGACCATCCCCAACTAGATCATCCCAGCCAAAGCTTTGTTTAGCCAGGGTTAAAAACCTCCAAGGATGGATATTCCACCACTTCTCTTGGTAACCTGTTCCAGTGTTTTACTACCCACCTAGAGAGAAAATTCTTCCCAATATTTAACCTAAATTTCCCTTGCTGCAACTTTAGACCATTGCTATTTGTTCTATTATCTGCCACCACTGGGAACAGTCTAGCTCCATCCTCTTTCAAACCCAGCTTCAGGTAGTTGAAGGCTGCTGTTAAATCCCACCTCAGTCTCCTCATCTCTTGACTAAATAAGCCCAGTTCCCTCAGTCTGTCCTCATAAGTCATGTCCCCCAGCCCCCTCACCATTTTTGTTGCCCTTCCTTGAACTCTCTCCAGTTTGCCCACATCCTTTTGTAGTGGGGGGCCCAAAACTGGACACGGTACTCCAGATATAGCCTCACTAGTGCTGAATAGAGAGAAATAATCACTTTCATTGACCAACTGGCACCATACCTACCAATGCAGCCCAGTATGCTGTTAGCCTTCTTGGCAACAAGGGCACACTTCAGGCTCTTATTCAGCTTATTGTCCACTGTAACCCCCAGGTCCTTTTCTGCAGAGCTCCTGCCCAGCCACTCAGCTCCCAGCCTGTCCCAGTGCATGGGATTGTTCCACCCTAAGTTCAGGACTTTGTACTTGTCCTTGTTGAACTTCATGAGAGTCCTTTTAGTCCAATCCTCCAATTTGTCTACATCAATCTGAATCCTAGCCCTACCCTCCAGTACATCTACCACTCCCCCCAGCGTGATGTCATCTACAAACTTGCTGAGTTTGCTATGCCATCTTCCAGGTTGTTGATGAAGATATTGAACAAAACCGGCCCCAGGACTGACCCCAGGGGCATTCCACTTGATACCGATTGCCAACTAGACACTGACCCATCAATTACTACCCTCTGAGCCCGATGCTCCTGCAACTTTTCTATCCACCTTACTGTCCATTCATCCCATCCATACTTCCTTAGCTTGCCTTAGCTTAATGGAATGGAAAATCTGATGCCACATGAGTGTTTCCTATACTCTCTAGGGCACTCAGTTTTCCAGATGGTTCTTGCACCTGGTGGTGAAGGTGAAGGGACGGTTACGTGCATCATCTCTGAAGCCATCCCCTCACTGTGAACCTCCTTTAAAGACAGGTAGCAGGAATTTAAACTTCTGTCTCCTTTTCAAATTGTTTGAGTAAGGCTTGACCAATACTTACTTTTAGTATATTGTCAGACATTATATCTGGCAATGCAAAAATGTATTTTTGAATAAAGTATTGAATGACTGATAGAAAAATAGTCTCATAAATAACTAGCAGAATTCTGTTCAACATTCATGGAACAGGTCAAATTATAAAAACATGCTGAAATGCTAAAATCCACTAGATAAGTTATTCCTTCAGCTCTATTTGTTATATTTGCACTGGTGACCCTTTGACAGTTCCCTATCTTTATATCTAATTAAGCAGTCCTGTTAATGAAGTGCCAATTACTGTTATATACAAGCGCTGAATCTATCCTATAGTATTGTGTCTAGTATATTAGTGTTATCTGTACATCAGCCTCTGCTTATCTCTCCTAGGTCTCTTGACTTCTTTTTCCTTCTTTGTGTTTCCTGACTTTGCCCTCTTGTAGCATGCTTTATCAGTACTGCACTTCCTGAACAGCTGTTTGTTGTTGTCTTCTTTTCTTTTTCTGTCCTTGCTTTGTTACACTTGTTTTCCACTTATAATTTTGTGAGTCTGAGTCACCATATAACAACTCTGTCAAGTTCTGTTTAGCTAGCCTTACCTTGTTACAGGCTTTTATCTGTTGACTCAGTTTTTACAGTTCAGCAAAGATTATAAAGGTTAGCCTTAACTCAACCTACATCTATAAGCAAGCCTGAAGCAAGTTACAGTTTGAATCCCTGTATTTCCTGACTTTCAATATTCAATTCCTTAAGTTGCAGGTAAACCATACTGGCCAAGGAACAAATTCTGTCATTCCAGTATTTCCTAAAATCATTTTGTTTCAAGTTGTAAGGCAGGGTGCTGTTAACAGCTTTCTGACTTAAAGGAGAAAGATCTTTTAGAAGATTTGTGGGACTTCTGCAGGTAGCCTATAATAAGCAATCTTTTGTACTCTGTCTGCAAAATGCTTGTTATATAGATCAATGAGTCTTTCCCTTTAATTGGTACATTAAAGAATCCTGGCCAACCTATCATGAAAGTGAGACATCATCTATCAGCCTTATCTATATACCAAGTTTGTCATTATTTTTAAACAGAAAAAGCAGTTTCCTCAAAAAACAGATTCTTTTTTCTGGAATTCTATCACTTTTGACCAAATATCTTATGGATCATTCTTTTGATTTTTTTTAAACAGATTTATTTTGAAAAGTTCTGCAAATGCGTTTCAGAATTCCAAAATTTCCTTTGCCCCACCTCTTGCTCCTATATTGCTGAAGTCCTCAGCACATCTCATCTTCCATGAAAGTTCAGGGAAATAGCTGTCTTTCTGCAGTGTGTTTTAAAAATGAAACACGGCTTTGCTGCTTCAGACCAACTTCCACCATGTTCCGCATACACTGTATTTTTAAAATTAAATACAACAGTGCCAACGCTATCTTGTGTATCCTTGGACACATGAAAATTAAAGTGCAGTACATATAATCTAACATAGTCTATTATCACTACAATTTAAAATATCCACGCATTTGCATGCACTCAGACACAAAAGATTCAGAACTACATATATTTGTCAGGGAAAAAAGAAAACTTTTCAATAAAAATATTTTGTTGAGGTGGAGGATGTCACCAAAGTTTTGTCTTCTGTACCATTAAAGGTACTTTCTGCCAATTGGTTCACCGGCCCTAGAAAGAGTGATTCTGGATGGCATGCCCACCACAACACCATTTTTAGATACAGGAAGGATCTGTTCTAGCCTCATAGATTCAGTTGATGCAAATCTTCAGAGCTTTTATCACTTTTGACCAACAGTGATATTTAATAGCCAAATGGGTTCCAAATTTAGCTCTGAAACCTTGTC